TGTCCATTGAGTCCTACACTAGTAAGACTAGAGATGTCCATCTGAGTTTTAGACATTCCACATGTAACCAGGCAAAATGTCCTAAAAACAGGCAGTCAGATTCTATTCCCTCTTCCAAATGTTAACTTCCTTCCAATCTCTGCTTGCTTTCAGTCTATTTCAAGTGCTTTCAGATAGTTATATTAATTTTTTCCAGAGTTGTTAATTGTGAGCTATGGGAGGATTGGTCCAACATGAGTTACTCTGCCATTACTGGACTTGAAACATATACTGTGCCTTTAATTATGGAAAAAATGAGTCATTGGACTTCTTGCCTGAGGAGTTTGGGAGCAATTTAATTGTTTAAGTGAGGACTGCCTACTTAAGTAGAGACAGAGAACACAAATAGAGATGAATTCTTCGGTTAGTATGAGGAAAAATATATAGGTTTCATATATAGATCCTTATATTTAGAAAAGTGAAACATAAATTAAAATGAATTATTTTTACCAGAATGCCTTAAATTGGGAATATGTGAACTTTTATAATAAATCACTGGACTCTTCTTTCCTCCACAATGTACACTGTCTTAAACCACAGCAAGTGATAAGAAGTTCCTTTCATCTATACTCTTACCTAAAGAGACTCTGCATATGTGTGAACACACACATACACGTGCATGTGTGAGATAATATATGTAATAGAAATATAAAGATAAATATATTTTCAAAGGAAAATGCAATCTTACCATACCATATGTTTGCAACATGTCTTTTTCAGATAACAACATATTTTCCAAGTAATTAAATACATTTCTAAAATAATTTTTGTGGTTTAATTCACAGGTTTATCCTATATTTAAATTTTTTAATTTTGTTTACTTTTACTGATTACATAATTGTTATGTTTGCTCAAAACAAGTTATTATCTTGTATTTTCCTTTCCCTCCATCTATGTTATGTATTAATACAGTTATATAAATTATAAATCTATCTACCTATCTATATATATATGGAAACTGTATCCAAATGTTAACTTTGTTTATCGGTGGGTATTTGGATTGCTGGTTGTTATTACCTCTATACTTGATTGTACTCTCCAGCAATTTACTGCTATTACTATTGCCATTTAAATGTCAACTGGTACATGGTTCCATTGCAGATGGGTTCTCTGGTTCCTGCCCTGTAGGGAACTCAGGGAATTCTGAGCATTTGTCCCACATATGTTATTTATTCCTGCGAGGAAGATAATTATCATCTCCATTCTCTAGATAAGGAAACTAAGGTTTGAAAATAAGAGGGATATTGTGTAGGGTCACACAACCCCTGAAAAAAAAGACAGAGATGGTAACCAATGCCTTTTGGACTGCCAACCCCATATTCTCTCCAGGATACTACCAAGTTCAGCTAAAACATAATCCCTCAGCTGTAAATTACATGCTTACAACATTCAGAGTTATTTTCATATTGGAAAACCATCAGGATGATGTGAAAGGAGCTTATGTTTTAGGTTTGATTCAGCTTTCAAGAACCTTACCCTCTTTGTCTTTGCTTTACTCTCCTCATTTGTATAATGGGAATTGTAGATTTGGCCTCCATTGGTTGTAGTTAGAATTAAAGGGTCTAAAAAATGCTGGCATGAGGTGAGACTCTAAAATAGTTAATTTATCACCCTTCCCACAGGTCTTCTTTCCCCATTTAAAGACTGTGCTTTTATAAAACTACCTCAGTAACTTGAGGACTGGTTGAATCACAAGGTCATCACGCTAAGGCCACTCACCCCTTTTCTGCATGATACAACCTATGAAGTCAACCCAGCAAGTTAAGACAACCAATCCTTGAGACTGGAAGACCACAAGGCTTCCAAATGGGAGGTTTCTGGGTGCTGGGGACCAAGATCCAGAACGCTTCTTCTGTCTCTTATAGGATGGATGTCCTTGTGTGCCTCAATTGGGTTATATGTAAAATAAGACTAATAGCATCTTTCTTTTTTTTTTTTAATTTAAATTTGAATAGCCAACATATAATACATCATTAGTTTTTGGTGTAGTGTTCAATGATTTATGAATTGCATATAACACCCAGTGTTCATCACATTGTGTACTCTCCTTAATGCTCATCACCCAGTTACCCCATCTCCCCACCCACCTCCCCTTTTCACAACCCTCAGTTTGTTTCCTGGAGTCAAGAATCTCTCATGGTTTCGCTCCTTCTATGATTTGTTCCCATTCAGTTTTCCCTCCCTTCCCCTATGATCCTCTGCACTATCTCTTATATTCCACATATGAGAGAAACCATATGATAATTATCTTTCTCTGATTGACTTATTTCACTTAGCATAATCCCCTCCAGTTCCATCCATGTTGATGTAAATGGTAGGTATTTATCCTTTCTGATGGCTGAGTAATATTCCATTGTATATATGAACCACATTTTTTTATCCATTCATCTGTTGAAGGACATCTTGGCTCCAAGACAAGACTTATAAAACTCAACACCCCCCAAATACATAATACAATTAAAAATGGGCAGAAGACATGAACAAACATTTTTCCAAAGAAGACATCCAGATGGCTAACAGACATGAAAAGATGCTCAACATCACTCATCATCAGGGAAATACAAATTAAAACTACACTGAGATATCACCTCACACCTGTCAGAATGACTAAAATCAACAACACAGGAAACAACAGGTGTTGGCGAGGATGTGGAGAAAGGCGACACTCTTGCACTGTTGGTGGAAATGCAAACTGGTGCAGCCATTCTGGAAAACAGTTTGGAGGTTCCTCAGAAAGTTAAAAATAGACCTATCCTAAGATTGAGCAATCGCATTACTAGCATTTACCCAAAGAATACAAAAATACTAATTCAAAGGGATACAAGCAACCAGATATTTATAGCAGCATTATCTACGATATTTATAGCAGCATTATCTACAATAGCCAAATTATGGGAACAGCCCAAGTGTCCATCGACTGATGAATGGATAAAGAAGAAGTGGTACATATGTACAATGGAATATTACTCAACCATAAAAAAGAACGAAATCTTGCCATTTGCAATGGCATGGATTGAGCTAGAGAGTGTTACGCTAAGTGAAATAAGTCAGCCAGAGAAAGATTAGTATCATGATTTCACTCATATATGGAATTTAAGAAGCAATACAAATGAGCACAGGGGGAAAAAGAGAGAGAGAGGCAAACCAAGAAACAGACTCTTAACTATAGAGAACAAACTGATGTTTACCAGAGGGGAGATGAGTGGGGAGATGGGTTAAATAGGTGATGGGGATTAAAGAGTGGACTTGTTGTGATGAGCACTGGGTGTTGTATGGAAGTGTTGAATCACTATATTGTACACCTGAAACTAATATTACACTGTATGCTAACTAACTGGAATTTAAATAAAAACTTAAAAAATAAATAAAATGTGCAGAAACTCTGACTTTATATTATTTGTGGGAATTTACCCTTGTCTTGTTTCCAGGATTTTGTATGATAAATAATGCCACTGTGTACTTTGTAGTGTGTGGTTTTTTAAGCAGTGGTTGGAATAAAAGGAGGATGGTTGGAAGAGAATTGAGGAAACTGTCAGGAGAGTTGTTGAAGCAATGGCCTGTTGTGACATTGAGGCTGCTTAGCAGAGGCAGAGGGCTGATATTCATTGAGACTACAGGGGTTGAACAGAGGGAGGTAGCCAATCTGGAGGTTAATGTTAAAGTCAGCAATAGCATTGGCAATAGAATTGAGGAGCAAAATTCATACTTAAATTAGTTTCTCCCTGGGAGTTTTCCTCCTGGAGGACATCATTGCCTTTTCTGCATTTAATCACTGTGCTGGGGAAGGCAGTTAGGATCATGGAAGCCTGAGGTATAGAGAAGAAGCAGAAGAGTTAAGACATAAGACACATGACTTCTGCCTGCTTGGTAGCTGAGGGATATCCTAGTGCCTATCATATGCCAGGCACCATGGCTGCTACCTTGTCTGGCCTGTCAGTTTTATCCTCTATATTCTTGTGGTGTGGGGAGTTATCACCTCCATTTCCCAGATGAAGAGACTAGAGCACAATTCAGTGAATTATCTTGTCTGGGATCCCACAGCCACTGGGTGGATGATCAGAGATGAGAACCAAAGTCCTAACTGCCAATTCTATGTTCCTTTCAGGATACCATGGAACCTCAACTGTAAATCCAGTGGTTATAAATCAGGTGATATAGATATACTGACTTACTCTGTAGGATAGTGGATATTCTTTATTTTTGATAATTAGGTCCCAGTCTTTTCTCTCTGATTAGTTAACTGCATCATCTTGGACAGTTCCTTGGACCTCTCATTCCCCAGTTGAATTACGTGTAAAAGCCCCAGATTTGGGGTGGATATTCTAGTCCTCTTTGACTTCTTTTTTTTTTTTACATCAGTTTAATGTTTTTCTGTCTCCTCCTTTTGGCAATGAAGGTAACAATGTACAGGCACTCACTCAAGGACATCAGGTGCGGACCTTTTCTACACTAAATCTTAACTGATGAACAGATGTGAGATGAGAGGTTCTGGCTGAAGTGGATTTCCAAGACCTGGATCTGATTCATTCCACAGCAGACACATAAACACACACACACACACACACACACACACACACACATCCCAATGGGGGTGTCAGGTGTAAGGAGGAGAGGAGGGGATCTAGATGTGTGCGACAACCAGGCCCCACCATCAAGACAGTCAGCTATAGACCACCCTTAATGAACTTCCACTTTCATCAAGCCTGAAGTCTTTTGTTTCTCTAGTCTGTCTCTCCAGTTGTGTTTGTGTGTCTGTATGGGAGGTATACAGAATATCTTAGTGAAGTGGTGACAGAAACCTTAGTGTTAGCAAGTGCAAAGAGCAGGATCAGCCTTCCACTTTGCTGTCCTTTAATTCCCTCAATTTTTAAGAGGTTTGAAAAACTTTTCACATATTTGATTGCCATTTCTGCTTTGAGTGATCTGTTTTTTTCATTGCCAATTCATTTTCTTTCATTTAGGTTCCTCTCCCACCATTTTATTGTCTGGTTGGATGTTACGGACAGTGTTCATTGAGCTGGGAACAGAAGAAGCTGTACATTCATTTTACAAATATTTGTGGAGTGCCCACTTTGTGCCAGGCATTGTTCAAGGTCAGGAGAAGCAGCAGTGAAGAAAACAGTCACAAATTCCTGCCTTCCTGAAGCTTATCTTCTGGTGGATACTGATTTTAAATATTGGAAAATTACCCATGGTGTTCAAAAAGAAATTTATTGGCGCTGTTCTAGATGCAGTAGATATACTGGTAAACAAAGCAAGCAAAAATTTCTTCCCTGCTACAGTTGTACTGGGAGTCAGTCTGAAAACTTGAACATGGTGGACCCAAGTACTCCTTGAATTAAAAGTTCATTGACTAAAACCAGAGGGCTCATGTGTTCATTTAGAAAATTTATATTTTTGTGAAAGTTTATTGAGATAGCAAGCACACACCATACAATTTCTCATTTAAGGTGTACAATTCAATGGTTTTTTAGAACATTTTCATCACCATAAATAGAAATTCTGTACCCCTTAGCTATCACTCTCTTATCCCCTCATTCTTCCCCTAGTCCTAAGCAACCACTAATGTACTTTCTGTCTATATGGCTATCCTTATTCTGGACATGTCATATAAATGGAATCGTATCATATGTGACCTTTTGCGTCTGGCTTCTTTCACTTAGCATAATGTTTTCAAGGTTCATCCATGTTGTAGCGTGTATCAGTACTTTTTAATGTATGAATAATATTCCATTATATGCATATACCACATTTCATTTCTCCATTCATCCACTGATGGACATTTGGGTTATTTCCATCTTTTGGCTATTATAAATTATGTTGCTTTTAAGATTAGTGTGTAAGTTTTTGTTTGAACACTTGCTTTCATTCTTTTCTGTATATACCTAGGAGTAGAATTGCAGGCCACGTGTTCATTTTTAAACCAAAGCAGATATTATTTGTGCATAATTGACCAAAACAAATGCACACATGAATAAACAAAACTGTTTTCATGACATTACCAAATGGCTGGATATGAACAAGAGCCAGCATGGAATGTGGACAAATACAATATCTGAAATTTTGAGAGAGGGCATTTAGCAGTTAAGTTAATGCTCTCCCATACTTCACAAATAAAAGTTACACATGTAGAAAGCAGTGGGAGTTACTTCTATTACTGAAAATCCAAATCCATTAAGTCCATTCCCTGATATTAGGCACTTAAAGTTCTGTTGAATATTTGCAATACAATTCTTGTAAAGGCATAAAGCAAACCACTCTGAAAACAGGCAAAGTCTGTCTTAGAGTTTCCTAATTCAGACCACTGTCTATCTCTAAAAGTGATCTGGCACAATTGAAATGCTATATAACTTCACTCATTGGGTCAGAGGAAAATATCATGGCCGGAGGTAACTTGGCACAGAATTGAATTTATCTAATACGTATTGTATCCAATACCCTGTTGTGACCTGCCAGGAGGAAGAATATAATCCTTTTTCTGATAAAAAAAATATGACAGTACTAAATATAGCAAATGAAAGTTCATTATATCCCATCAAATGACATTCTTCTAGTCTGTCATTAAAAAGTCACTTCAGGGGCGCCTGGGTGGCTCAGTCGTTAAGCGTCTGCCTTCAGCTCAGGTCATGATCTCAGGGTCCTGGGATGGAGCCCCACATCGGGCTCCCTGCTCTGTGGGAAACCTGCTTCTCCCTCTCCCACTCCCCCTGCTTGTGTTCCCTCTCTCGCTGTGTCTCTCTCTGTCAAATAAATAAATCTTTAAAAAAAAAAAGTCACTTCAAATATGCTTGTGCTTTAAGTGTTTAAATATTTTAGAATATGCATATATACCATATTCTCCTCAGAAAGGTTGTGTGGCATATTAGTGATGTGACGTGGAAAACTTTTAACTCCAGGAAGGCTAAACTCAAAGCCTAGGGTGGCCACATTGGTAATGTAAATAATGAAAGTTGGTCTATGTAAAAATCAAGGGAAAAACCTTTGCTTCTACAGGTGAATATTCTCCCTCCAGTTTTCTTGAAATGAACAACACTCTCAGTCTTTTGGTCCCACACTTTTGGTTAAATGGAGGCAAAAAATATTTCAGTTTTCTCTTTACTGTAAGAAAATCAATAGCATTAATAGCAAAATAGAAACTAACATTCTGTGTCAGTGTGTGGAGTCATAGAATAGGGAGTGATAAATATTATGATGAATGCCTGATGAGGAAACTGCTATCAGCTCCAGCCAGTTGTTTTCCGGGGGGAATGTAAAAATGTAGGCCCCATGTGACCAAACCCCATTTTTAAAGATAAGCCAGAAAGCTGTATTTATATGTGAAATATCCCAATTTTTAGATGTTGACAATTATTTAAATAATTAAATATTATGTGGGAAAAATTGTGGTCCTCAGGTCCCTAATTTTTATCCTCTGCTTGTAAACTAATATTAACTGAAGTAATATAAGACCTCTAAAACCAGGTAAGTTAAAATCAAAAGACAGATTTGATTAATATTTCACAATTATCTTTGTATAAACAGAGATTCAATTAGAAAATCAGGAGTAGAAAAAGAAAGGGAATGAAATTAAAATCAGAAACATGAAGAAGCTGGCATTATATACTTCATCCAGATATAGTTGATATAGTAACTATATATAAGTAGATACATAAGATGAGAGTTTTTGGGTGCCTGGGTGGCTCAGTTGGTTAAGCGACTGCCTTCGGCTCAGGTCATGATCCTGGAGTCCCGGGATCGAGTCCCACGTCCGGCTCCCTGCTCAGCGGGGAGTCTGCTTCTCCCTCTGACCCTCCCCCCTCTCATGTGCTCTCTCTCATTCTCTCTCTCTCAAAAAAAAAAAAAAAGATGAGAGTTTTCATTGCTTCGGTTATTACGGAGGTTAATGAAAATGTTTGCCAAAATTTCAGAACTATCAAGGATAAATATAATATTCAATGAGAAAAATGGGGACACTACAGCCAGCCCCCCAAGAGCCTTCCTAAAATAAGAATGATTCTCATTTTTGACATGCCATGAGTCGTGTAAATATGGCTTTCTTGTATTGTACAGGGATTCTCAGTTTATAAGCTCTTGTATAATGACCACAGTCTCTTTTTTGGCAAGGAGTGATGATCTGTATTTCATAGATCAGGAAATCAAAGGCATAAACCATGTTACAGAGAAAGGACTAGGAATAAATAACCTTTTATTCATGCAAATCTCAGTTAAAGTTCACATAGTGAAGGCGGAAATGTCAACCGGATGTCTAGAATACAGAAAGTCAGCACTAGTCTTTGCTGAGCCTTGAATACTATTTTTAAAATCATATTAATGTAAAAGACTCAGGACACATTTTACCCTCATTTCTAAAGTTTTATCTGCTAGTACATGGACAGTGTTTACAGAGGAAGAAACCTATTTGTCATTTGACTCTGGAGAAAAAAAACCGCCAGTTCAAAAATCTCACTGTCAAAACTAAGCAGGAAGCATACAAAAACATAATGTCCAACTGAATAATTTTTATCAAAATTAAGTACTTTAATGCGCTCACTAATGAAAGATTGAATGACAATATTTTTGCTTGTTGGTAATACAAACAAAGACCATACAAATTGAGAACAAAATTAGGTTGCCTTCATTCCTATTTAAAGGATGTTTGACTCCCATCCCCCACGAAAGTAGTCTTGCTATGAATATTCTCTTTTAAATTCCCAAAATAAATATGGCTGAATACAAAGCATTCTTGTTCTCCCATTGACACAATTCATTTTCATACACTGGGAATAAAAATGGTTTGGCAGAAAGCATGAGAACAGTGTTAGTTTAAAGTGAAGAAGTGAATGTCCACAATGTAAAGGCATTAGACTGTCTACTGAAAATATTAACTTCTACATTGAACATTAAACTGAGAATTCCAATTTGATTATCTTCTAGCACAATGGTGCCCTGATCTGATCACTATGCACTTAGGTCAGCCCAACTATGTAGGGCCTTTATTTTTGTATAATTGCTCTAGTTGTCCTCATTGGCTCCGGTTGCACCTGGCTTTGCCTATTCTGGCACATTCTGTTTCCCTGAAAATACTTACAATCTCTCGGGTTAGCCTTGCCCTCCACCCAACCATTCTCCATCACATGGTTTTGGTTATGTGAGTGGCTGGGGATGGCTTGGGGACGCAAAAGACATTGGTGGCTTACTTGATCCTGGGCATTAGGTAGCTCCCTGCACTGGTGATTACTGAGATGTGACAGATTTTGGCTGCAATGTTTTTGTTTTTTTCCACAACCCTTTCATCAATATAGTGCTTTCATAAATAGTTAAATGTATCTTTATTATCACATGTACATACTTACAATATTTTATCATGTATATATACAAATGGAAAATAATAGTGAAGGAAATAGATATTGCTGAGTAGCAAAATTCCTGCCTAACAGGATTTTGATGGAGAATATCAGATAAACTATAGAAAGTGTCTGGCACATCCTAGGCCTTTAAGAAATGTTAAAAATGCTAGTCCCAGAGTTCTCTTTTCTATCAAATGGGATTTTTGATGTAGAAGAAATAGCATGACTGTAATAAAGAGCATATGAAAATATACACAAAAGATACAAAATGTATACACATTTATGAGCTTGGTGCTATTTTTTTTCATTGTAATATATGGAGTTGGAAAGAGGAAAGGATATTTGTGCCATTTCTTTTTATTATTTAATGAGTTATCCTGTCTGATTCTTTAGTTTTCAGTTGAACAGCAGAGAAACACATACACATACACAAACCCACTCCATACATACAGAAAGGAATTGTAGTCATTTGTCTCCAAGTGAACAAGTCTTGTAGGTAGCTGGAAATGAGAGTCTGGGGATCAGAGAAAAGAATGGGATGGACACATGGACTCGAGCTACCGGTGTTCCACATATGTGTGCTGAATAAATGAATGGTTGTGAGACTCAGCTTTGGGAGTCATTATCAACAAATGAAATCATACATACAGTTTGAGTCTTTATATATATATTATATATGTTCTCTCTCTCTCTATTCCTATATATATTTTCATATATATGTATAAATTCCTATACATATGAATTAAAAATTATTTAGGACTATTTATTTCATATTGTCTTTGTCTCTTCTTGCAAAAATTGATACTTTTCCTTTGCAACAAAGGTAGCATATTGAGAAAATCACCACCTGCTGGTTAGAACCAGAACTACATCTCTCGATATCTTTGCAGGTGCTGTGCAAGAATTTGGGGAGGGCCTCTGGTCTGACCCACCAAACCAGGCATGCTGGAGGCTTGAATGGCACAGGCAGGCCTTCCTGCAGAATCGGATGCTACCTGATTCTCTGAGCTTCTGATGGGAAGTTCCACCCCTG